ATTGATCTAAAAATTCGTTGAGGCCGACATCGCCAGTAAATAGCGAAAAAGCTATAATTTTTTTGGAAGTATATTTTCGACTTGATGGTAATTATTCACCGACGCTCTTCAACATCAGCAATGCACAGTAGAGCTGCTGCCTGCCGCTTCAATTTTTTTCAAATGAACTTAAAGACAGACATGTCATAACGAATCGAGAAGGTGATTTCATTCCAAATGTGGTTTTCTACTAAATACGTAATGTAACAACTTCGGGCGAATAATTATGAAGGTATAGGTTATATCATCGTGTTATGAAAATCAAACCCGGTTTAAATTCAGTATGGCACTTCCAGTTTCCAGCAATTTATGGGTAGAACGACGGTAAAATGAAGTTGACGGGATAATTTCAAAGTCTAGCATTCTCTATAGAAGAATCGTTACATACAACAAATAAAACCGAAGTCTCTCCTCAAACAAAATGAAAATAAGTACCAAAGAGTGGACAAAACACAACAAAACAAAATAGTGAACTTATAAAGACTCATAATGACTGCAACAATAATTACAGATTGTACAGTACCTGGCAATAAATATTTAAGGCGGTTAATTTTTGCTTTGTAGAGCATTATATTACCTAATTCACATTTAGTCTCCAATCGTTGGTGTTTCCTCGCACACAGGTAACGCTCTACAACAAAAACAAAATTAGACGACTGTCTCTTCCTAAATAACGATGTGCAATACTTATTTATTGCCTGGTACTGTAGTTAGTTGCTAGGAGTAGCTGCGGCGGCTTCCTGGTACAAACCACGAGAAAAACTCTTCATTATTAAGCACTTTTATGGCATCTCGAAAAGTTTATAGTGTTATATTGATATCCTCATATTAATTTACACAAACATCTATATATCAAACCATAAAGAATACGAATGTGGATCATAAACTATGTAAAGACAATAGAAGCATCAATTGTGTGTTCTTTTTCAAAAATCTAGAGATGTATAGTTGATTTTGTACTTTTGGAACGAAGTTCCTTATCGCGCGTTGTGAAAGGGGGCTAGACGGAAAAAATTCTTACGAAAAGTTGTCACGACACTTTTTAGATCCGTCATTCTGACCAATCAACGTGTAGGCGCTTATCGCGTGACATTGCTCGTATCCGATTGGTCCGCGTAATGAGTACAGTTTCTCGAGATAGCATTTCAACAATAGTAATTTAGTTCATAGTATTGTTTTTTTCTTCTTCATAATGCCGTAATTTATTATTATAACTTAAAAAAAAAATTACAATTCCTTCACTAATTAATCGAAAGGAACTTCGTTCCATCCGGGTGTCCCTTGACACCTCTGAAGTTTTTTTTGGAACGAAGTTCCTTATCGCGCGTTGTGAAAGGGGGCTAGACGGAAAAAATTCTTACGAAAAGTTGTCACGACACTTTTTAGATCCGTCATTCTGACCAATCAACGTGTAGGCGCTTATCGCGTGACATTGCTCGTATCCGATTGGTCCGCGTAATGAGTACAGTTTCTCGAGATAGCATTTCAACAATAGTAATTTTGTTCATAGTATTGTTTTTTTCTTCTTCATAATGCCGTAATTTATAATTCTAACTTAAAAAAAAAATTACAATTCCTTCACTAATTAATCGAAAGAAAAATAACAATTCCTTCACTAATTAATCGAAAGGCACTTCGTTCCATCCGGGTGTCCCTTGACACATCTGAAGTTTTTGTTTTTATTAGTTTTTTTTTTATTATTTGTCGATTTTGTATTTATTTTTTTATTAGACGGGTGGACGAGCTCATGGCCCACCTGATGCTAAGTTGTTACCGGAGCTCATACATCTACAACATTGATGCCGCCGCCCACCTTGACATAGGAGTTCTAAGGTCTCAGTATAGTTACAACGACTGCCCCACCTTTCAAACCAAAACGCATTACTGGTTCACGGCAGAAATAGGCAGGGTGGTGGTATTTACAGTTGCATATCGAAAGAGGTCCTACCACCAGTAATTACGCAAATATAATTTTGCGAGTTTGATTTTTATTACACGATGTTATTTCTTCACCGTGGAAGTCAATCGTGAACTTTTTTTTTTCCTACCTATGCTGATAGCCTTGAGAGGCTATTCCAGCTTCACCCTAACGTGTGTAAGTGAGCTCACGGGGCTCAAACCGGGAGTGTTGCTAACACTGACCCTAGCAAGAGTAGTGCTTCGCAGAATCTACCACCGGATCGGAAACGCGACCCACAGAGAAGATCCGGCGAGAAACTCAGTGGGCTGTGTCTATGGGTACATTTTTTTTTTATGAACGTATTTCATTAGAAAAATTTGTACCTGCCGGCGGAATTCGAACACCGATGCATCGCTACATACGAATGCAACGGACGTCTTAACTTTTAGGCCACGACGACTAATTCTCTTATGAATCTTTTTAGTACAGCTATGGAAAGAAGTATTATGCTAAAATGGTTACAAAGTTATCTATAGGTAATGCATTAGATTTAATAAAAATGAACTGGAAATAGTCAAATTTCAAAAGCATCGTTATCCTATTGTATGTCTCTAAAGTAAGAGAACTTTCTTACTTAGAACCTAAACAGTGAATAAATTAACATTTAAACCACGAACATTTAAAGATCATTAATTCGTTCATGATAGGTACCTAGGGAACGCTATCGTGTTTCTCAAATTACCTATAATGTTTTAAGTTTTTTTCTTTCGTTAGACCTGCAATCGAAATTTAACTCCTGTTGAAACAGTCTTATAACATTCTCAAATTTGGAAATCAACTTTCAATTTCAATAGGCAGTAGAAAAATAAAACTTATGCAATCACAATGTTTTCGATTCTGTTCATAACTTGTTATTTATCAACATATCGAGGCTACGGTATGTAGGTATACTAATCACAATATACATTGTCTTTTTAACCACAAAAAAATAACTTTTTTCTAGTTGTTCTTGTTTCTGTTCTTGTTTTCTAGTGTTTCTAAAAGTTTTATTATACCTTTATAATTATGCAATTCAACTCAATTCAGTTTAGCATTTTATATAGTGTTCATACAGATTTTGCCTTTTACGTAACATTAGAACAGTCTCGAATATCAATGTAGACAAAAACAAATTAAATACATTTACGATAATTAAAAGACTGACCTCTGTCTCTATATTCTCTATAAGTGTGGGAAATTTCATACTATGCCGTCCGCGCAATTTTCGTAAAAAATGATACAAAGTTTTTGCTTCACGTATTAATAAAGATATTCTAAAATAGGAATAGCTACAGGATATTTTAAATTCAGTTTAACAAATTATTTTGAATAATATATTTTGAAGAATAGAGAATTAAGTGTTTATTATAATAATAAAAGTAGTAGGTATCATTTAATAATAATAGTCTCATTAGGTTTTTAATTATATTTATTCATGAAGTATTTTGTTACTACGGTCGATACAAGCCATTAAATATAACACACTAAAGTGACCTGAAGAAGGATGTTGTAATCTTCCAATCGTGACGTATTTTTATTAATTGAATTAATAGCACATCGGAACGACAAGTACAATAAGTACTCGTTCGCAGAGTCACTATGATAACATCAAAAAGTAATCCTATTGTAACATAATTAATTAAAAGTACCTATAAACCGCAAGAAGTATAAAAAAAATTATAACATTACCATTATGTCAATGTCATTGAGCTTAATATTTAATAATAATACGAGAAATCTACATTCCTAATTTCTAAAGAGGACTTCATATCTCCTAATGCTAAATTTCAATGTTTATATTTACTTCAAAAGTACGTAATTAATGTTAATGTAAGAATAAATTTATAGATAATAGTTGGTATCATATACTATAATAATGTATACTATAAAGATAATTTTTTAAATAATAAATCACATTAGGTAACAAAAATGTAGGAAAACGTCGAGTGTTTAAAAATAATAAGCTCAACTATTTTAAAAATAACAAACAGCTGTTTGTTACTCGCCATTAGTGTTATAAAGCTACCTAATATAAATCTATTAAAATACACTTATTACTTTTACAGAAAGAAAGTGTTCTATTTATATGTATGTCAACACGAATGATAATTTTCAGAAATCGTACAATACAAATTTCATTCAAAGTAATTTTGAATAGGTTCCAATACAGCAAAAAAAAACGTATTTAGAATCATTAGCTAATACCAAATAAAAATCAAAATATTAATGTTAGTAGGTACTGGGTACCTCTTTAAATATGGATCACTTCGTAGTAGAAGGCGTCGAACCTTCGTATTTTCTGAAAATCTACGGTAGATACAGCAAACAATACTTTTCGGGGCCTTTAATTAATTTACACGCGCTCTTTGTAATCATAAGTGTGACGGCAATAACAGGCTTCCGCTCAGTAGACCAAAAATAAATACTTTTTAGTATAGTACCTTATATGCAAACCATATTCGTGTAAAATACATATCGAGGGGTGAAATGCAATTAAGTTTGAGCGATATTTTTGCAACTTTACAGGAAAGCTGTTTAGAGTTAAAAATATGGAAAAAAAAATAATCACAAAAAACTTATTCAGCTATTTGAATGGTGTAAACTTAAATGAAGTTCAATTTAAAAAAATCGAATTACCGTTACTAATACCAAATAAAACCGACCTATATTTACAAAGATAAATGTCGCGTATTTAATAAGCGAAACGTCGCTTAAACCAAATAGTCTTTCACCCCTCGAAATACATATATTTTATGTTTTCAATGCGCAGAGACATTTTTTCCAAATTTTTAATTTAATAGATTATTTCGATGCCTCCAATGAATACTACTCTAACTCAAAATTTTGAAATTTTGGTTTTTCACGCAAATCGCTTCACTATGTTAAAAGTATTACAATTAATCATTATCGATGGGGATCGAAGCAAGAGTAAATCAGCTAGTTACACAAAAAAAAAACCATAAATATATCTGCACTAATAAAGATTTTATCAACTTTTTTCGTTTAAACGCTCCTCCTGTAAATCTACGAATTTGGAGTTAGCGTAGTGTTCATTGGAGGCATCGATTTACAGTCTGAAAACTGAATTAAAATTGAAAGAACTTAAAATTAGCACATCCGATTGCGTGCGTTGTCGTTGCAATCTCCGTTCTAGTATATTCCATTACGTATCAATAATAATTCTAGCGCGATAAAGTGTCTGCCGATCAAAAGATGAAGCACGGCCCGCGTCTACCTGTCATCTAAACATATCCTTATTCTGTTAATGTTTCAATATGAGAATATACGAATACTCTTTTATTTATTTTTAAAACAGGTAATATTATTTACAATTAATGAATATGTTAAACTACAGAGTAGACAATTATTGTGAATAACATTAAACACCGAGATTAAGGTAATAAAACTTTATTTCAATTGTATATTTGTCACCTGTTTTATGTAATCTATAATCTATAGCAATCTGCAGATACTTTCAGGAATTCCTGTTACTTTTTTGTTATCTTTGTAATTAAGTGTCAAATACCTAATGTGTGGGCTCATTTAAATGCCATTTAAATACCATACCCATTAAATAGGTTAGTGGTCTAAGAATAAAATGCAAATGAATGCATTCATTAAACTCGCAATATCGGTCAGTAGTTTCAGTCTTACTACGATAATAATTTAAAAGTAACTTAATCATATATATTACACCCACCCTATAATAATTTGTATATATTTGATTTCCGATAAATAAATATTTTGATGACTAATAACAACCAAATGCAGGATAAAAGTGATTAAGTGAATATTAAAATTAGAAATTTTTTAATTACATATCGTAGGTACCTTCTTATATTCAAGGTCTCAAATATTTATTACTTATTACTTACTCCCTTGTCCGATCTAAATATTTTGGAATAACGCTTACAAATTACGACGTCAAATAATACAAATTAATTGCACGTTTATCATAATAGATAATTACAATTTAAACTTTAATAACTTAAGATCAATGGAAAACTTGACAACCACGCACCTACAGAGCGTAATCAATAAAGTGGCATGCACAATGTACATCTTTAGTAAAGTAGCTCAGTTGTGCGTCAATCTAAGTTCATTTAATGTAAGAGTTTCTAAGAGTACCTAGGAACCACTGCGAGTCTAAGATACTACCTAACTTAGGTATCAATGTTCACTGACAAATTGATTCTAATATAAATTTTATTTAGTAGAATACGTGCGCATTTGACAACCAGTGTGCTTAGTGCGAGTTTCCTAACGTTCTCGATAGCGTAAAAGTTAAGCCAATTTAGTATGCACTTGAAACAGCGCCCCTAGCGGTGAATGTAGGCAAACGATACCATTCCATACAAATATGAGTTAACTTTAACGCTATCGAGAACGTTAAAAAACTCGCACTGAGCATACTAATCGCGGTGGTGATGGAACCTTGAGCTATTTTCTACAAATTTAAAACTTTAGCAATATTTTATAACAACTAGCCTAGTAGGAGGTATAATTACAATTATTAACATTTCACATTTCCACATGCTTATTGTGTTAAATGAAATAAACCAAAACTAATGTTGCTTTTCGAAATGGTGCAATATTCATATTGACTAGCTGACTGACCAGATATCACGATCTTTGTTTGCAATAATTTTATGACCATCCAAAACTTCCGGTTTTTTATCATTTTTAAAGAATTATTGAGACCTTTACAGTCATTGAAAAAAATGTAATACTGAAAGTATATTTGTTTACATTTATCTGATAAAATATTTTTCATAAGTGGCATAAATAATAAATGTTGCCAGCTATTGTCATTGTCAAGGACGTTTAATATGACTATATTACGAAAACTCGTTTAACTGAATATATTCATATTGATGTTTTGAATGTTATGTGACCGTCTATTATCGTACTTAAATGAAAAAATTACTTTTCTGGAACGATTGATTTTAGTGCCCATCAAATTACACTAATTAAATCGATTCATAAACTATAAAAGAATTGCGAAAGCCGTTTATCCATTGCACTTGAGACTGCGACCTCATGTTTCAATGTTGATGGCGGAATACATGGTGTTACATCTACGAGCTCTGGTACCATGTCGGCGGTAAATTCACAAGTCAATCAATTCTGGCCAAAAAACGTTGCCGCTTCCTCGGAAGTCTAGGCGGAAGATGGCCACGACCAGCGCTTGTCATTACAATTTGCGTACAGCGTTTTGAAGCAGGCGCTGTATATTCATTTATTTCTCATAAAAACAACTCGTGAATATTTATAATAAAACATTTTTTTGGATCTCAAACCTCTTTGGTAACAAACCCGCTTGTAAGACTGACCACTGTGAGTACCTATCTACTGGCTAAGGTTATCGAATGCGCACGATATCATAAAAATGCAATATTTTTGAAATCTTTGTTTGCATTAGAAAAAAATTCCTGGTTATTTATTAACCGGCCACTGAAAGTTTAAGGAACCTTAATCTACGGGGATCTACTGCCGTTATTTGTAGTTAAACATTATTGATAATTTAATCTATTCTTAATCAGCTCTAACGCGACGGACGCTGGAAGCCTTGATAGCCATTTTTAAGAGGGGCTTATACAAAATGGCCCACGGTAAGAAAAGAACAAATCCTGAGTAATATAAACTCGAGTAAACTCCCCACCATTTCGAGAAGGCCTTCAGATCGAATGGAGCAAGACTCCAGCCCATAAATACAATTGTATACATTTTCAATAAGCCATAGAGCATGTACTTGGTTACATTGTGAGACCACAGTTTGTTGTAAAGCTCCGTTTTAGAAATAATTGGTTCCAGTTCTTTCTCCATGAGCATTATCAGAAATTCGTTGAAGAAGGTCATGTAATAGCCGGACCTGGTTCCGTGCCACAGAGCGAGGAACAGAAGCGTAAAGAACTGACTGAGGTTGCGGTTTCCTAGGAATTTCAGTCGTTTATAAATGTACTCGGCAGCGAAGTGGTTCGTGTTGCAATTGAAGCTGTCGATGTAGTGCTGGAACTTTGTGGCCCCCTCGAATCTCAATAGCTTGATGTTGTTACATCCGTCCCATTTGGAGATCGTCTTACCTTCCGGTGTGGTCTCGACGCCGTTGTAAGACATCCCGAATCTGATGCAAGACGCTGAAGACAATATACAAATATAAGTGTATGTTTTGTTTTTACGTATCATTGCAACACGGGCGTTTATAAAACTACTGTGGGTCGTTTTCAAATTTGGGGCCAAAAGCGAGTTATTTGATTTAATTCTCATAACCTTAATGTTAACGTAATTATAAGTACAGTAAATTTGTTGTCATGACAACAGGCACGTGGTCCTATAACTATATATTCGTACACACTGTTAAATTGGGAGATATACCTACATTAAAAACTACCCCAAATCTCATTCGTATTACTCACTGGTTCGAAATTCAAATTTTAACTTGTTTGCTATTTTTCCGGTAATGCGTGTTGAAATTCGGCAATTTTATTTAATCAGTATGTAATACAATAATAAAGGAAAACTAACTGGATATTAGAACATTATTATAACATTCAACAAAAGAAGATTTAGATTTAGATTTCTAAGATTTAAAAAAAAGTTCCTATTTAAATTGTCGTCCCTGTTGGCGTTATCAAATGCGTAAAATGAAAAATATAAATGAATACTATATAATATTAACAACAAACGAGTGATTGACTTGATTGTGATGAAGCATTTTTTATTCTGAACATGCATAAATACAAAAAAAAGGAAAATTCGAGAAAGTTTAAATTCATGAAATCGTTACTTTTTGGCCGCAAAATTGACAACGACCCCTGTCTGAATCGTGCAAAATCCGAAACGGCTTCTTATTTGTTTTTTGTTTTTTTTTAAATTAAAGCATGAAATTATTAAAATACGGCTGGATGCAATTCCATTGCGAATAACGTTAATCGAGGCCAAAACAAACGAAAACCAAAACATGTAATATATTTAAAAATAGCATACATTAAAACGAAACTAACGATTTGCCGCGCACTTGCGTTATGATTTGTGTTATGTACCAAATTATAATAACAACAGAAGTTTAGTTGGCAAAGGGATTTTGCTGTGAATTGAAAACTCAGTTAGTGTAAAATATATTTATGATTCTACGCTTTTCAACGAAGTTTCGTCACGTCCGATGTTATTTATTTATTTATTTTATTTATTAAAGTTCATATAAAATTTACATTGGCGGACTTAATGCCTAAGGCATTCTCTAGTCAACCAAAGGTAGTGCAGAGTAAATAGTGGTAGGTGTAATGAAAATTATATTAAATTACAAATACATACACAAAAAAATATATATACATACATATAATAGTTTATACAGTATTAAAAGGAATATAAAATTCACTGCATGTTATTCAAACTTTCAAAATACACCGAATGCATTGTTCTAAATTCAGGACGTCAACGCTGTTTATTTCCATCTGGTCATAAATTATTAATGTCGCTGAACCGTTATGTGAATAATGTTAAAATTATTTGATTTATGTTCATGATCACAAAAATAGTAATTGAATGATAATTATATTTTAACATACCTACCTACATCCTAGGAACTCTTTAGAATGTTTTGATATTAGCGCCCAAATTCATATTATGCTTAATTCGGATTTTAAGTTATCGTCTTAATTTTTTATTTTATTTTATAAATATTGAAATAATCTTTAAGATATGATTTAATTGATCCAACATGAAAACAAAGTCAAATAAACCATTATAATGATTAATGATATTTTTAATGTATGCTTAAAGTAGTATCAGTATGATAAGACGGTAGATAAATAAAAACCAAGAGTACATTTCACTGGTATGGACTGCACATACATTGTATAAAGTGAAGTTACGCTAGGTAGCTGGGATTAAGCAACAGGTCATATATGAGTCGACTATTATCAAAGCCGGCAATGTGACTTTTGGACAATTATTGGTAAATCAGAAAAACGAATTATTGACTTTGTATTCCATTGGCAGTCACAAAACTCTTCTGAACGACTTCTTAGATAAATAACAGGTTAAGTTAATACTTTATTTAATGCAGGTTTTGAACCGTATTCTTTGAAGGAGACGATTATATTCAAATCAATCTGTATTAACATATCAATAATTTTTTTTTTGTCCAAATGCACAGATTGCCACCTTTGATAATAGACGACTCATATTTAACAATAACTTCACTTTATACAATGTATGTGCAGTCCATACCAGTGAAATCTACTCTTGATCGATTAAATACTGACTCGATTAAATAAAGTCTTAGGACTGTCGCGGAGTAAGTATATTTGCAAGTCGAGATGTCTATTATTATTTCGTTGCATTGATGCATGAGGTCAGAGCTTGCATGGTTTTAAATGGCTACCGAAGTCCATCGACAATATGAATAACGCTCCACGAACTTTGAGACACACGAGATCAAAATATCTACGTTATAGTCGGTACCAACCGAAACGGAAATACACCTATCAAACGAATCTTCTGCCCTAAAATACCAACAACCCTTTAAAAGCTTTTAATAAAGACGCAAAGATAAACACAAAGATACCCATCCCATAGAAAATCTATGCTTAGGTTAATGTACTTTGTAATCACTACATAGTATAAAACAAAGTCGCTTTCTCTGTTGTCTCTGTTGTCTGTTGTTGTCTTGTATGCTTAAATCTTTAAAACTAAGCAACGGATTTTGATGCGGTTTTTTTTAATAGATAGTGATTGAAGAGGAAGGTTTATATGTATAATAACATCCATTAAATAGTGGAGAAATCAATACTAAATTACAGTTTCCGAAGCGAAGCGAGGGCTGATCGCTAGTAAATCAAAGATTAAAATTACTAATACAAACAAAAAATATATAAATATAATAAACACAAAGAGAGACGAGAAAATCAGAGACGATGGGCGCTTGGGGCCCTGATGCAAAGAATTTTTTATCAGAAATCTCCAAACGCTTGAAGGAAGCTACAAGTAAGTACACATGATGCTAAGGCTGGCTGGTACTTTGCACAGAGATTGAATCCGGCTGTCCTACGAGGTAACGCAGCCAGTATCTTGGGAACTGTGCCTTCAAGCGCATTGGAAGATTTGTTTTACTAATTATTATTATTAATGTAAAAAATAAAAATTCGAAATTTTGAAAATAAATAAATTATAAACACAAAAATATTAAGTCAACCGAATAAAAATATTGTATAAGTACTTGGAATTCAACGTCATGAGAGTAGGTACCATACTTTTGAAAGGTCAAATTAAGCATTGGAACGATAGGTAGTCATTTAAATATATTTATTTATATGAATCACTATCATTTTTGTAAACTGAAAATTGCAACCGTAAAATGCGCCAAAAATATTTTCCTTCACATTTTATTTGTAAATAACAGACCTAGTTCCAAAAAGCTCAACTATTTTAACTAAAGTCGACACAACATTCGCTCATTCCGGCTTTTGAATTATATACATGCCTTCGCAATAATCGTGCGTTTCTATTCAGTGTGTATAGAAAAATTGCATTCAAATTAATAATTATTATGTTCATATAATTTCCAATATTCGCGGTGTATTAGGTGCATATCTTATACTAATATTTATTTAGATAAACATTATATAATCACCTTCAGTGAGTAGCCAGCAAGAGATGTACTTATAGAGAGCAAAGTGTGCCCACATGCCACAATAGAAGTGCCGGTAGAAGATCGAAGTCTCCCAGAAATCATCAGATAGCATGTATTTCACATTGAATACGTAAACTGAAAATAAATAGATTATGAAACGGATACAGTAGTTCCATTATGCAGAGGGTGCGTCAGTATTTAATTCAAATTAAATATACACTGAATTGAATATTTGTTTGTAGAATTTTGTAACTGTTTTTGCTGCATATGATCAAACTGTCTCTATCAAAGTATATCTTTCAAAATAGTGATAAAGGAAAACTGTTTAGATCTACGCTGAAGGTAGACTCTGGTTCTTACCTCCCACTTGAAAAGCAATCAAATACCCCAAACCCTGAAGCAATCTCCTTAATGCCTGTTTCTCGTACACCTTTGCTTCTTTCTCAACAGGAAACTTGTCCATTACAAAGTCAATATATCGCCGGAACGAAAATATAGGTCCAACTAAGAAGCAGGCAGGAAAGTAAACAAAGCCAATCAATTCTACAAAAGATGGAGCTCTTAATAAAGCAGTCTTCTTATTGTTCTCTGAGAGAGTCTCGCCTTTGATCATTTTCTTTCCATCCCATAAATCAAAGGACAGAGCCATCAGTTTCAATGTCAAAACACAGTGAGGCATGGTCCATGTTATATCATAATCTTCAGACTCTGTGACAATGTAACCAATAAGAAGATAGCCCATATTAAATACAAATGTTATCACTGCATTCATTTTTCCAGCTCCCAAAAACTTTGTGGTCATGTAAATAACAATTGCGGGAATCATATTATGGTACATTGATATTCCAAAATTGAAAAATGCCATATCTACTCCACAAACAATGAAGTATATGTTTCGGTAGTCGAAGAAATCTTTGATATGGTGATGATAAAGTATTGCTATTGGATATCCCATTAGGATCGATATAAGTAGTTTTAGAGCAGGTGCCGTAGTCCCAATTAATTCTGCCAGAAATGGAATCGGGCTGAGGCCCACCAGATCCAAAATATATAGAAATATCCCCCACATGGTTCACTCGTCTGCAAAAAATTAAAAACATATTACAACAACTTTGTTAAATTGTAATGTTTTATTTTTAATGGTTTTCTTCAGTCGTTCTGTACTTTTACAATGCATGCTTAAATGGAGAAATTTTTTAAAGATGAAGCTAGCATACATGTTTCTCGATACTCATTATATATAACCTCAATTGAATACATACGAGTATTACAATACAATGAAAGTCTGAAACCATATCTTTATGATTAAGGATATTTTACAGGATATATGACTTTTTTATATTCTTTTATATTTTTACATGGACATTTCTTTTTTTCTCTTTACATGAGACTTTATTAGTGAAGTTTGTGTAAATTTATAGTACTTTATACATTGTTATGGTGGCAATACAATATTTAGCTCATTCATAATTATCTGTATTGGGTTTGATACAATCCTTTAAAATTTGTGACAAGTTATAGATTACAATACATTTTCTCTTTTTCTTTGGCATTGCTAATCTTAAGGAATGTTTCAGGAATGTTTTTTTGGCAGTATTTACTGCATGCCACAATCCCCAAAAGACTATAAAGCTTAATCAAACAGATTAAGCTTGGCACTAAGCAATGGCCAGTTTTCAGCTCTGACAAAAATACTTTATAGCCATCCCGGCTTAAAGTACTCAGTGATGAGTGTTGCAGACACGACCATTCTTGATTTTAATTATTATTAAACACCTTTTCAAAAAGAATAACTTCTATTACACCGATTACTAAAGCTAGTCAATAGCTCACTACACACATACATTAAGCATAATAGCTGCTTTGTGTAATGCCATCCTCTTCAGTATATTCAGTTCACTATAACATTTTCTATTTTAAGGTTACAAGAATATTTAACCAAAATTAGTGTGAAAATGAGATATTTCCATGAGAATGATAGCTTGTGAATTGAAATCTAAAAATTTTAGATTGCTTATTTTGTGCGTACCATGTATTATATTACACAATGGCGGATCCAGGGGGGGGGTCATGGGGGTCATGACCACCCCCTGAGCTGGTTCCAGGACTTAGGTGGACCACTAATTGAATATAATGATTTTATTTATATATTTTGTCACCATACAGATTTTATGTAACTACATACCTTTAATATTTAATTAATTTAATATAATAATATAATAACTTTGTATAATGGCAAACGCTTGGGAACGAACGCATCTAAATTTGACTATGTGACCCCCTCCTGGTGCCAAAGCTGGATCCGCCCTTGATATTACATGTTATTCATATATTACAACTATAGGATTTTTTCAGTTTATTTCTAAGTAAAAAGGGATTTATTTAATTTTTGAGTTAATAATTAGTAACTTGTTTATATTAATTTATGTATATCTATTCTAGCCTCTAGTCAAGATATTTGAAGCAATAATAAAGTAAAAATTATTGTTAAATAACAATTAAATTGTTAAAATAAATCATTGTTTTAAAGCTCAAACTTAATTGTTTAATTACAGTATATAATCAGCTTTTCTTAGGAAAAAGAAACAAAAGAGGTCCGCAAATTGTTTTCAATTTTAAACCCAAATATTTATCGACCATATATTTTTTGTTATTAACGGGAAGATATCAAGTTAAGGTACAGTAGTTCCTAGATTCTCTTGACACCACACCACAGTGTATGAAGGAGTCCCTCGAGGTAGATTAACAAACTGCAAGAATCACAGGAATCCACTGCATGTAGGCTATGGAAGTCATTGTGAAAAACCTTAGAGGAGACCTATGTCCAACAATGGAAATTTGTGGGCTAATGATGATTGACACCACATTAATATTCACTTAAGCCATGAAGATAGAGACTGAACTGTTGACAATTTCTGAGCGATTTCTGTTATATGTGGAACAAGAAATGTTCAATTTATGGTGCAGATATATGATAAGCCTAGAACTCAATTACATACACATATTCAATCAATTTCTACATGTATTTAGAGATATTTTGTACTTTTAATGTAAACTATTTCTATCTATTATATTTAATCATTTTATTTGGTGAATATTATTATAAAAAATAATCTAGAATATTCTGATGTGTGTTAACTATGCGTTACCTTTATATTTTATTGAATAAGTGATTATTTTAGATTCAGTAGTTATGTAACCCAATTTTAAGAGGTTTATTATAAGCGAATGAGCGTTCTACACCTAATTACAAAAATAAGGCGCTCAATATATGAATATTATGTACCTACCACAGTTTGCTTTGAGAATAAACGATAAGCGATTTTTTTTTGTGTTAAAACAATAATAAACGTACCCTGTTTACTGCTATCTTTCAAATTTCTGTAATCTAAAAAAAATAGCTAAGTTTGTAATTACTAATCGCTCACGACACAGGATACTAGTCGGTTACGATCGTGACTTGTAAATGAATTCAGTGATATCATGTCCAGTCAATAATATAATATGATACGAAATACGAAGTGAATCAAGAATTCAAAACTGTCTAATTTGACACTTGACAGATCATAAATTTCAGATAGGTATGTGCAACTCCCATACAAAGGAAAATAACATACAACTAGCGTCATCTTACTCCTGTGGCGACGTCATTTTTGTAACTTTTAGGCATTAATGATCTAATAAACTCACTAGATGGCAGATATGAGTTCTGACTCAATAAAAAATGTAGCGTACTTTGAAGCAGTGCTTCCACTTTTAGGGAATTCTCCCTTTTTTAGGGAAAAATAGCTGATATTTTGGATGATAAAGACAATTTAAAAAATACCAGGATTTAGGATATTTCGGGGTAAAAAGCAAAGCCTATACTAATAACTGTTGNGTCGTATTTCCGGACGCCCAGGATAATGACACATTATTGGGTGTAGACTTTTTAGTAGCAGCTGGTTTAGCCATCGACTTCCATACTTCGACATGGCGCTACCATGGTTCTGAACGAGTTTTTCCATTGGAGTTCGAGTACCCCAGTGACCTCACGCCTTGTTCTGCTGCTGATTTCTTAAGAGAAGACGAGGGAACTATGCTTTGTCTTCCAGAGCGTTAACCGCCTAGCTTCTCTTCTGCAGTGCAACGAGGATGTCTTCAGACCAGGGGGAGCCCCAATGCCTTACGCTGAACATCATCAGGATGATAGGAAGTAGCAAACCGACAAAATTCAGTTATCTGGTCCCAGTTACCAAGTAGGTGATCTAGTACTTCTCTCAACGCACTTGTTAAGTGATGCCGCCAAAGGTAGAACGAAGAAGTTCATGCCTAAGCGTGACGGACCCTACCAGATTAGCAATATCGTTAGTCCTACTACCTATGAGGTTACTGATTTGAATTCGCAGGTTTTAGGGAAATTTCATGCTTCTCATTTGAAGCCGTATCATAATCAAACCAGGTCAGGTCTCAGCTCCAGCACAGCCTCGACGCCTGCGTGGACGGCCCCGTCATGTTGTTTCTGCCGAGCCACTAACGAGGCGTTCTAGTGACTCGGAGGGGGAGGATATAACGGAACGTAATTTACGAACGTGCGATACCGCTCCCGCCGCCGCCTTACCGCCCGCTGAGACAGAGCTCTCTGAGCGCAAAAACACACGCCCTCAGCGCGCGCGACGACGACCAGTAAAATATTGCGAGTCTTAGTGTAACTGTACGATTCTCAACTCATTTTTGTATTTGTGTTAGTCATTGTGTCGCTTTTTATATTAAAACCTCATACCAAATCGGCGTAAACATTATTTCTATATCATCTTCGCCAACAGCCCGGAACAACGAACTCACGAAAACTCACAAAAGCCCGCCAGTCGGACTTGTAGTGTTAAAATTTGAAATTAACGGCTAAGTAAAAAATACAGGTATACGCGAGGGGATTGATTGGCATTGTTCCATACACGCAACTTCTATTGCACGTGCTTCTTCATTAGTTACTTTCTATGATAGATACTAAATGCACACGTGTATTTGATTCCCTTGTAATTTAAGGTTATGTTTAATCAAATTATATGCCATTAATTTTACTCTTATGCTATAAAATTCTGTTACCTAATATCTAATAGAACTTGATAAACTTTCCACCAATCAAATCTAAAGTACAGTAATACTGTTTGAAATTGTTCCTCGTAGGTATGAAATAAACATAAATTCTAATACCTATGCATTGAATTTGATTTGGATTATTAAATTAAGTAAAATTTACTCAAATTTTGGGCAAATAGTTCAAAAGATCATAGTTTGCTTGCTGGAGGTTTGGTTAATGAATCGCGCAGTATGCGTCGCAATATTTTTCCGCTGCCGGTCTTTGGTATCTCGTTTACGAATCTGACTCCACCACGCAACTGTTTCCACGAGGAAACCTAAAAAAGAAGGTTTTTTAAATCATTATAATAATTAAATTTTGCAGTAAAAGTGATTGAAAACATTGAAACAAATCTCCATCATTCTGGTAAGATGGCCGTTTCTATCAATCTATCTTTCTAGTTTTGTTCAGATAGATAGATCTATTGCTGAACGTAAACTATAATAAAATCGTGAAGTCATTTTTATGTTTATAATATTCATTCTAAGAACCAAAACATTTCAAGAAATCTGTACGTAAATTACGAGTAAATATTACTTCATGAAAGACAATTAGTCGAATATGAAAGAAATTTAAAATTAAATAGTTTGCATATATAATATATTATTATTGCCGACCCCACATAGTGGGATAAGGTGGAGAAAAAGAAGAGAATATATTATTATTATTATTATTGAAGTTACTTTAATTTTCGTTTGTTATGTATGAAGTACGCGGGTGGCGATAATAAAATTGAATAGATTGTGTAAAGTATCTATTTAAGATACGACATATCTTTTGACCTATCGCAGGATTCAATTGTTGATAAATCTAATCTATATACTGCCAAATTGAAGATAATATTTAGGTATAATAACATATTATCGCGAAATTCTCAATGTTTATCACTTACGAATAGTTATTATGACATACGAATAACTATCGATGGGGTAAGCAAGCTTATGGGCAATCTTGTGCTATATGATTGCGGAGTATGTTACACAAAGTGATACCAACCAAGCTATTCACAATAACATTTTAGAACATTTATAACAATTATATAGCCATGAAAGTAAAATTCATTTACCCTCGCAGCCACGAAATCAATCAATTCTTTTTCAGTAACTTTAGAATTTGGTTTTTTGACTACAAATGCTGTAGGCAATTCTCCAACAAGAGGGTCTGGTGCCCCTGCAACTCCAACATCTTGAACAGCGTCATGCTGCAATAATATTGCTTCAAGCTCTGATGGTGCAACCTGCAAGTTTTACAACTTTCACTGTAGTGTATATCCAATAAAATTAAATTTTGAATTTGAAAATTGTCAAGTGTCAACTTGACGAATGATTTCATGACCATATTACGATAATTGTGTAGAGTTGATAGTTTTTCAGAATTAGCGGTTTTGTTTTTGTTTTGTAGACGTTAAATGAGCTCATGAGATATAATATTCAACTAAACAGAATTTTTTTAGAGAATACGACACACACGTTGCTATGACTTAAAAAAAAGAAAAAAAATATTTATCCTTTGTACTCTCTCAATTTAATTATCGATACTGCTTTTTCCTTATGTTGAGTGAAGATAAAACAATCAAAAGAGAAGAAGAAGAAAAGAAAGGAATAAATCCATTAAGATATTTCAAGACTTTCAGGGCTATAATAAACATAGTATCTAGAGTATCATCAGTTAAAAACTAAATATATGAACCATCTTGTGATTTTGAATGTAATTTAACCCAAAGGCGGATCGTTTTCATTAATTTTACTGGGGAGAAATTTACTTATTAAAAGAACGATATTGTCAAGATATTTTTTCAAACTTGTAACGGTTCCTTAAAATGAATTCCTGTATTTTGATCTGATATGATCGTGTTTGAATACAAGTTACCGTTGGATTGTCTAGTATTTGATTTACCTGTCCAGCCTTGTATTTGATCAGTTCTTTAATTCTATCAACGATATAAAAGTATCCTTCATTGTCATAATACGCAATATCTCCTGTTTTATAAAATCCATCTTCATCTAAGTCTTCATTTATATCTTTTCCAATGTAATCTTCAAACAATACAGGACCTTTGACACATATTTCACCATTTTGATTAGGACCTAAGGTTTTTCGTGTTTCCACATCGACAACCTGAAAATTATAATATTAAGTCTGTAGTATAAAGCCACGAAAAAAAGATCATGTTATTAGATTATTATAAATATTAAGTTTTTACCTTTACTATATTTCCTTCCACAACTTTTCCTACACTGCCAAGTTTGTTACTGTCCTCTCTTTCTTCAGTTAATGCTCCTGTGGTTTCTGTCATACCATACCCTTGAAGAACATGTTTTAAGCCGGTGAATCTGGTACATAAATTGAATTTTAGTTATAGTGAGGTCTACTTTAGCGGAATTAATTACCAAGTAAACAAAACTCACTAAGAATTAGAAGATATTAAAGTTATTAAGGTATAGGCTGCAAGTTATTGTAAAATACCTTTTCTTTATGCTGGTCATAACTGAAGAATCCAAAGGAGCTCCTCCACAGTACATAATTTGTACAGAGCTCACGTCATATTTGTCGATTAATTTGGATTTAGTTAAAATAACAAGTAGAGGAGGTACCATTAGTAGAATTCCAGCCTGAAAATATACGAGATTAATCAAACCTATTTTTAGAGTTTAAGCTCCCTTTATTATTTTATTCTGATTCTTCAAATATATTTACAGCTTTGGAGGAAATACAGGACAGTCATTCGTGTTTATTCAATTTAAAAAAAAAGTTCTCGGAACTTACCTTGTATTTCTCAATACACTGTAGATACACGTCTTCTTGAAATTTGTTTAGATATAAAACAGTTCTGTTCTTGCTTATATTTAATAAGGTTAAGATTATTCCCACTGTATTACACCATGGTGCTAAAGTTAAAACCACCAAGTCTTTTTGACAAAATCTAAAAAAATTAGTAAACTTAGTGAGAAGAAAATTTTGAAATAAATGAGGCAAAATAAAAAAAAAATGCGTACGATTTTTGAAAGCCAGTAACTAGTAAGTTGCGATGCGTTAATTTCACTCCTTTAGGTAGTCCAGTTGTTCCCGAAGAGTAAAGAATTATTGACGTACTATCGGTTCCTGAAAACAATATCCAAGTTGAATGATGTACGGTATCTTGATATCTCCACCGTAAGGAGTCATGTAGGTTCACCTAATGTGGGCTTTGCAGACACCCGATGGAGAGCTGTGACAAAAATTGAGCGAGGTCTTGAGGCTTTTAGCAAAATCTATTCAAGCAAAGGCTTATACTCAATTATATAATAGCTACTGAACATAAGCTTTTGCTCAGTATCGATAGCAATGAAATATTTCTCTTTGCCGTCTGTGTTTTGGAATTGCAATCCAATAGAGAAATCCGCAAACAGTATTAAAAAGAAAATATTTAATGTAACCAAAATTAAACTCACCATTGAAATCCTTCGATTCAAAGTCATTGAAATGAGTATATTTTGTGACAAGATCTTTAAAACTAGTGACGTCTTTGTCGTCAGATATTCCAAATAGAAAGAATTTCTGTACAATATTTAATTGCTTCAAAGTTACATAAAACTCCTTGTAAGCACTTGGAGATAGGAATATGTAATTCGGTTTCGATATTTTAGTTGTATGTATGAATTCACCTGAAAATTATACTTTAATTTATTAATTAAAACTTCATGATTATTTTACTTTATTTAATACGTACTTTTGCTATATGCACTGTTTATGAAAGTAACCGTAGCTCCTGTACAAAGCACAGCTATAGTTGTAGTCAGATACTCTGTCCTGTTTTCACTGCAAATAGCTACCACATCGCCTTTCCCAATGCCAAGTTGTTTAATAGCAGAAGCTATATTTACAATTTGCTGTGTCATTTCGCCAAATGTCAATTTCTCTCCGCTAGCTCCATTGATCTTGAGAACATGAATTAGTCATTATTTGATTTGCAATTCGACGATCTTTCATAACTTATGACTAAATGCTTACCAAAGCCACTTTTGCTTTTTCTTTCGAAAGTCTCTCCAATAAAAATTTTCCATAATTCATGTGATTCGGAAACGAAAAATTTTGCTCTCCATAAATTATACCCGCATTTTGCTTTTCTTTTTCCATTTTGCACAAGTTGTTTTGTAATCACTAACACGAGAATACTGAGCTTGTATCGTTGTGACATCGTATAATATAAGATTACCGAATTCAAGGTTGCAAGACCTGATAACAGGTTATGTCATAAGATATGAATTAGATTCATGTTTTTTTGTAGTTATTATCAAATAAATTAGAGTAATATTAACTAACGTAATATTATGTTGAGAAAATTGTCCTGTCACTTCTTGGCAATTTTGAATGAATTTGTGTTAAATTAATGTACCAAAAAACCTACTGAGAATAACGGAATGATTTTTCTACTAAGCTACCATACTCGTTCTCAATATACATATGAATGCTCAAAGTAAACAATGTTGAAGGTTAAATATATCGTTATTGAAAGGCTCTGAAAAAAATTATTGAGCACTTTCACGTTACTTTGTGCTGTTGTTTATAAAATGTTCTTTAATCATTTCAGGAAACTGGAGATGTTTCCTGTAAGCTGAGATTGTTGAATATATTTCGATCTCCTATTTCCTTAAAAAGTTTATTTACAGAATAGCAGAATGTAGTAATCGATTTAGTACAGTATCCTATCAATTGAATTTAGATAAATCAATTCTTCGCATCAGCTATTTTAATTGTTGATATGAAAGATTATGAGTTAAATGTCTAATTATATTAATTTTAGATTAATATGACTTTAAAATTATCGTGCGTGTGTATTTCAGTAATTTAGAAGCAGTTTAGCTAATCCAGATTTAACGGGCGTATAAAACAAATACATTTTACATATTTGCGTTATGGAGTTTTTGTCAATTTAGACTGAGCACATAAATGTGTTTGCTTTACAACCTATAATTGTTTTTCAGGAGAAATAGTAAAAACGGTTGTAAATATCTGTACGTAACCTATCTCCGTTCGAGTAATATCGTTTCACGGATAATAAGTACGACCACTAATTACGCAAATTTATAAATTAACTCTGCCACGCTGGATGCAAATTGATCCGTCGTTAGGTATATCACGGACGAATCTAGAATATACGTACACCTTAAAAGCCATAAGTTGGTAAACATGATTTGTTAGTTCGCCTTCGTGCAGGACCGGCTCGCCCACGTTCAAACCGGAGATCTTCTCGCAACATGACTCATAGCACCATGATTATTATGTATAACATAAATATCCAAGGGGACCTCAATTCGAATGAAGAAAACGTACGTTCTGTAAGGCTCCTGTAGGTAAATTTAATGGGAAACATGTTTGTTCAATTTGAGCATTATTGTTTGTTGTTTTTCTTAACTGCCATAGATGAGCATCTGAGCTGCGGTGGAAATCTGCTCCTTTATTTTTAAGCCGCAATGGAATGCAATAGTAGCTTTGACTTCGCGTTGTAGGGTAGGTAGCGGCATTCGCGTTATAACAAGATCTAATAAAATCAGATGACTGCGTCCACTTATCTAGTGGAATAAAAAAATATTTGTACATTAGCTATGCAGTGATACGGACGCATGATTACTTTTGGGTTAATTAAGCAGAGCAGTGGGATTATAACAGGCTTTAGCTATCACAGAATATATTAAACCCGCTTATGACAATTTTAAGAATACCTTGTAGACATACAGACATGTTCCAAACAACAACATTCCTACCATCAAGCTATCAAATCAAGACATTCTATCGGTGAAAGATTTTCCCTTTGTTATTTCCTACCACTAGTATTTTTTTTTCTGAGCTCTGCATCGAGATATTATGTACATGGAGCTCTATATAAAATCTATTTATTGCACTAAAACAAAATGGGTGTATGGGCACAGGCGTATTAGAATTGCGTATTTTAAAAAAAAACTATTAACAAATTAAAAAGTTAAGTACTATACGAGGAAGGTAAAAATCGAAATCTACTACCTGTTCTTTGAGAACCATTCCAGATAGATGTTACTTTTGTTTCCTATTTCATTAAATAAACCATTTAATGCACACGTCCTCTTGTGTTTGAGTCGTTATGTTTAATGTGGTCCGGGTCGGCTTAATGAAACGACTCCCTAGTGATAAGACAGTTCATGGAGACGTCACGAGTCCAGTGCCTTAAACATTATGTCCTGATTTGTAAAATCAATGTTTTTTGTTTGTTTGTGTTTGAAAAAGTGTTGTTTGTGTGTTGTTTAATGTATAACGAGTAAAATATAATAATAATAATAATAATAATTTATTTATTAACCTTGAAAACATTTATAAATAACAGTTTGCTAAAAACTCTCCACACTAGGCACTGCCTGTCTCGTGGAGAGTTTTTTACAGGAGTATCTTAAAACTAGTAATAATAATAACGATCGTCCAATAATGAACCAAATGATAAAAGCGGTATATTCCAGCTCACCTGTTAATAAATAGAGAAAATACAGATTGGCGGCACAAAAGTGAAGGGTAAAAGGATAATACTTGTCGATTAAAGCTTATAATTCTTTTGTCACGTTTTGCAAAATAGATCAGTGTTTTTAAGCGCGTGACGAATTGCGCGCGCCGACGCTACGTAACAAAATATTTATTTCGTTGTTAAGATTGTGTATCTAGATTTGAGACAAAAGTACGCATTATTTTTGTGCGAATGTGATGTTTCAGTAGATAAATAAATTTTGTGACTATTTAGTTGCTAAATAATTATGTTACGCCAAATAAATATAATTTGTTTCATTTCTTCTTTTTAATTGTTACTTATGTTTATGCACGTGCAATGTAAATAAAATCTTATAAATTTAAGTTTATCTAAGACAAAATAGTTCATATAGGCGTATATCTACGATTTTTTTAAAGCAAATTTTAATTTCCGCAGCTTTGTTTATGTAATCAATTCAGATAAAAAAATGTATCCTGAATGACATGTTCTTTTTTCAGCTAGTGCAGGCGTAACGTGGAGCAAGCGAAACCTGCTCAAGAGTTAATAATTCTAGCTCTTTCTCACTTTAATAATAATAAAATCTATATATTAATACGTGAAGGAAAAACTTTGTATCCCTTTTTACGAAAATTACGCAGACGCAGGAGTATGAAATTTCCCACACTTATAGAGAATATAGAGAAGGAGTGCAGAATGTTAATATTTTTTTAAATATGCCTAAAAATACATTAAATCAATAAAAAAAATATTACACACACTACCATGTATTTGACGCACACACACATGCATACTATTTATTTATTGTCAAACTTTTGTTCTTGACGTCTAGGCGTCTGTGTTCATTGACCTATAAAGTATCTGTGGTCAAATTGAGATTAAATTAAATATTGTTTGTCTTTATTAATATTTTTCTATAGTGTAGTCTTAGCGAAATTTGTGATTATAGAAGTATAAATAGTCTTTGAAAATAGAATCATAATAGTGTACAAACTTACAATTTAAATTTTGATTATAGTCGAATTTCGACTACTGCGGGCCACTAATAATAATAAAACCGTAACAGAAATAAAATATATACAGCCAGAATATAATTCCTGGTGGTACTGGTGGTTTACTGGTGGTAGGACCTCTTGTGAGTCCACACGGGTAGGTACCACCACCCCACCTATTTCTGCCGTGAAGCAGTAATGCCTTTCGGTTTGAAGGGTGGGGCAGCCGTTGCAACTATACTTGAGACCTTAGAACTTATATCTCAAGGTGGGTGGCGCATTTACGTTGTAGATGTCTATGGGCTCCAGTAACCACTTAACACCAGGTGGGCTGTGAGCTCGTCCACATATCTAGGCAATAAAAAAAATCCTGAAAACTTTTCAATGACGTTGTTTCAATGAATACTTTCGTGAATTTCATGTCCTCGTAAACGACCCGAAATTACAATATGTGTATTCGTTTGTTATAAAAAGATAAACAGCAATACTAGATTAAATAAAGGAAACCGACAACAAGGGTGTGCGAGATACTGACGTCATAATTACCCCACAGCCTCCGCAGACATTAAGACGATATTGGTTCTGCTAACAAATACCTCGATCTAATGAAGCGTGTTATGTACTGACGTTAAATCAAATCCGTTCTATTGTTCCTAAAGATAATAATTATTTATAATCAAAGAATTTAGTTTTAGGTTTTAGTTAAAGGAGTTTCTTTCAAAAAGATTCGTGTTGATTATCTCCTGACATTGAAATAAGTTTTATCAAGAGATTAGAATCATGATATAACAAACTGTTACAATCAACATTGAAGATGTCTCCAATGTTGTCATTGCGTTTCATTTTATCTTTTGTACTGTTACAAGTAAAAACATGACAGCGGCTTGACTGAATTTTTGGGGCTTTTGAAGACGATAAGTGACAGTGGCCCCTTACTTTCAAGGGGACCGTTTGCTTTCCTGCCTTCAAAAGTAAAACTACCTTTTTATTTATTGCTTAGATGGGTGGACGAGCTCACAGCCCATCTGGTGTTAAGTGATTACTGGAGCCCATAGACATCCACAACGTAAATGCGCCACCCACCTTGAGATATAAGTTCTAAGGTCTCAAGTATAGCGGCTGCCCCACCCTTCAAACCGAAACGCATTACTGCTTCACGGCAGAAATAGGCAGGGTGGTGGTACCTACCCGCGCGGACTCACAAGAGGTCCTACCACCAGTACCTGTAATATTATAAACACACTTGATTTATTACATTTATTTATTATTTCATTAAGTTGCACCAACAATGTCACCACTAATATATTTTGTAGCTGGACACATTTTATTGGTTTTTATGGCAGGCGAGCTTATGGCTGTGTTAGTATTAAATGCTTATCGGAACATATAGACATCAGAACGTCAAAATAAAATATTTCTGTAGTCATTGGTGATAAGCAACGGGATAAGCCATGGTACTGTGTATTTTTGTATATTTTTTATTGCCTTTGTAGGCAGACGAGCATACGGCCCACCTGATGGTAAGTGGTCACCGTCGCTCATGGACCTCAGCAATGCCAGGGGCAGAGCCAAGCCGCTGCCTACCATTAAGTGCTCTCCGTATTTGTTTGAATTCAAAGGGTCCGGTAACTGATTAATACTAGGTGAGCTGAAAA